CACAAAGCATTCTGGGTAAATGATGACGTGGATATATAGCGAGCTCTATCCACCCTGAAGGTTAATCTTGGACCATATCTGATGATCGACTCTTTTAAATGAAACCAGAGAGCGTTGACAGAGAGGAGAAGGTAGAAATGACTCAGCCTGCAACTGAAAATATGGATGGAGGACCTCAGTTTAGCTTGTTAGTTTGTTGCGCTAGAGCCGAGCTAATACATATAAGGCCATGTTGCGTCGGCGCTAAAGCCAACAGACTAAGCTGAGGTTCTTCTTCCATGAAGAAGTTCTGTTGTCTTTCATCCATTTGTTCAGTTACAGGCTGAGTCATTTCTACCTTCTCCTCTCTGTCAACGCTCTCTGGTTTCATTTAAAAGAGTCGATCATCAGATATGGTCCAAGATTAACCTTCAGGGTGGATATAGCTCGCTAGCAGCCTCACACTGAGGACCTATCCACATCATCATTTACCCAGAATGCTTTGTGTGTAAATAAAATGGCCCCGTCTGTGTTAAAATAGATTTTTAAAAATTTACAAAACTTAACAGCCTACAGTATTTTTACGGTTTTAATTTTACAGTTAAAATACATGTTTATCAAATAAAGTCTAATGTTACAACTAATCATGGATCCATTTAAAAAAAATTTGCATGTACATATCAGTACTGTAGGAACTAAAGCTATAGTTCAGTGGTTCCCAACCCTGGTCCTCAAGGACCCCTATCCAGCATGTTTTACTTGTTTCCCTGCTATTCAGCAGGTCTTCAGAAGATTGTTAATCATTCAGTCATTCAAACCAGGTGTGTCAAATCAGGGAAACATCTAAACATGCAGGAAAGGAGTCCTTGAAGACTTGGGTTGAGAATAAATGCTTTAATACATGTTGTCTGGTTTATTATTTACAAATAAATGGCAAAGAATCAATGCCTTCCAGAGGCACTACTAAAAAACATAAAACTAAGTCAATATTATATTTTGAAAATGTCTCATTGAGCTCAGAGAAGCTCTTGAGGTGTTGGTCAACATTTAAAGCAGTGATTTTTAGTTGTTTCCCTGATTTGACACACCTGGTTTGAATGACCGAGTGATTAACAATCTTCTGAAGACCTGCTGAATAGCAGGAAAACAAGTAAAACATGCTGGATAGGGGTCCTTGAGGACCAGGGTTGGGAACCACTGCTATAGTTCATAGAAATGTAGGGTTGTTTTAACTCCAAACATTAAGGGATCCAGCTTTGTTCCATTGCAAAGACTCCATACAGTGTAGATTGGGACGGAGGGAACAAAATGCTGTTAAATGGCCAAATCAGAAACAGCTGGAGGAGAATTTTGCAATCATTTTTGCTTGTGTAGATTCTCAGTCAACCAGGACAAGATAAATGTCTGTCTGCAAGGTCAGAAAGCAAGAAGGAACAGAAACACATCAGAAAAACTCTCCAAACCTTTGGATCCTCTGAGCGTTTATCAAGTCAGTGAGAAAATCTAAACACCACGCCACAGAACAAAACAGAAGAAATGCAAAAACATGGTCTTGTATTGTTGGAACACCTGAAAAACCCTTGAGGATTTTCTCCAAACACAACATCTGATTGCATTTCAAACCTAACAGAACTCTCAGGCAGAGGCTGGTCCATCTTAAGGTCAAAACCTCCAAACACAAACCGAGTGGTGTGGTGTCTGCAGTTTGGTGCAGATCAGACTTTTTACATTTGAGGAACTGAACAACCTCTTCACACATGCATGCCTCAACAAAAGGAGACCAGCTCCTCAGGACAAGACTCAGTAGTCCACCTACATCTATAAAAGGGAGTGGTGGCACAGAGGTTAGAGAAGATGAGTCTGTGAYTGGAAGGTTGCGGGTTCAACTCCCCGAACCAACCAGCCCCACTTTGGGCCCTTAACCCCTCAGCTGCTCCCCAGGCGCTGTAATTGGCAGCCTACTGCTCCCCATGTGTGTTCACATGTGCAATGGGTAAAATGCAGAGAATTAATTTCCCCTCTGCGGGACAATAAAGGCTAGCAAAATAAAGGACACTCTCTGAGGACCACGTTCAAATGTTAATATTTTGGACAGCTGTTTGGTGAGTCTATGTGAACGGTTGCTTCAGGTTTCAGTTTTTGGCTGACAGGAGTAACACTGGTGTGGACTTTTGCAGCCCATTAGCTGCAAGTTTGGATGGGTTGTGTGTTCAACGTTGGTATTCTGCAGGCCTTTGTTTGGAACGTGTGGTCATTTAAGCTACTCTTTCCTTTCTGTCACCTCGAACCAGTCTGCCCAATCACCTCTGACATCAACAAGGCTTTATGTCCACACAAATGCTGCTCGCTGGATATTTTCTTCGTTTCAGTTCATGCTCCTGAAACCCTAAAGATGACTGTGTGTACAGTAGGGCTGGGCAAATAATTCAATAACTACTGTATATTGTTATAGCCACGGGATCAATATCCATGGAAAATTTGTCCAATAGAATGCTGATAATTTCAACAAACCCCGATCCAGAACCACATGGCATTCTGGTAGATGTAGGCAGAGGAAAGGCTTTAGCTGCTTGCCTGGTTTAAACTTCAGCAAGTCATCTTCACCAGTCACTACAAGTTACATAAACAGCAACTTTCAAGATTTTTTAATATCGTCTATTTAAAATCTCATACTGGTCAATATTAGGTGCAGTGCAAAAACATTGTTGGCCAAAACAAAAACTACATTAGTCAATCGTGTCTCACGGACTTAAATACATGGTTAAAGTTGACAACAGATTCAACTTTTTATTGGCAGAAAAAAGTCAGACTGAAGCCGAAAGGAAGTTGCTTTAGGTAATGGCAATGGGATGTTTGTTTTAATCTAAATACAACCTCTAATAACGTTGGATTTGTGAAACGTTTTGTATAGAACAGGTCATCAAGCTTTATTTAATAAAAGATTTCCTACAGCTTTTGTGAGTGTGTGAGGATGTGTCAGCATCATACAATTCCTCACGTCATTTCGGACAAGTTTTTCTTACTGAGTATTTACATTAACATAAAAGACGTAGGGCTGGGCGATATGAGGAAAATCTTTTATCTTGATATATTTTGACTATTTTGCGATAAACGATACAGCGGGTAAAATAAGTATTGAACACGTCACGATTTTTCTCAGTAAATATATTACTAGAGGTGCTAATGACATGAAATTTTCACCAGTTGTCAGTAACAACCCAAGTGATCCATACATACAAAGAAATCAAACCATAAATGTCCAGAAATTAAGTTATTTGTAATAATGTGGAATGGCACAGGGAAAAAGTTTTTATCTAATCCTTTGTACAAAAGCCTTTGTTGTCAATGACAGCTTCAAGAAACCTCCTGTATGGAGAAACTAGTGGCATGCATTGCTCAGGTGTGATTTTGGCCCATTCTTCCACACAAACAGTCTTCAAATCTTGAAGATTTCGTGGACCTCTTCTATGAACTCTGATCTTTAGTTCTTTCCATAGATTTTCTGTTGGATTCAGGTCAGGTGATTGGCTGGGCCATTCCAGCAGCTTTAGTTTCTTTCTCTGAAACCAACTGAGAGTTTCCTTGGCTTTGTGTTTGGGCTCATTGTCTTGCTGAAATGTCCAGCCACGTTTCATCTTCATCATCCTGGTAGATGGAAGCAGATTTTTATCAAGAATGTCTCTGAACATTTTTCCACTCATCCTTCCTTCAATTATTTGAAGTTTGCCAGTACCATDTGCTGAAAAACAGCCCCACACCATGATGTTCCCACCTCCAAACTTCATTGTTGGTATGGTGTTTTTTTGGCGGATGGCAGTGCCATTTGACCTCCAAACATGATGTGTATTCTGGCATCCAAACAGTTCAATGTTGGTCTCATCTGACCAGACTATATTCTCCCAGTATTACACAGACTTGTTTAAATGTTGTGCAGCAAACATTAAAGGAGCTTCAACATGCTGTTTCTTCAGCAGTGGAGTCTTGCGTGGTGAGCGTGCATACAGGTCATGGTGGTTCAGTGCATTAATTATTGTTTTCTTTGAAACAATCGTACCTGCTAATTCCAGGTCTTTCTGAAGCTCTCCACAAGTGGTCCTTGGCTCTTGGACAACTCTTCTGATAATTCTTTTCACTCCTCTGTCAGAAATCTTGCGAGGAGCACCTGGTCGTGGTCAGTTTTTGGTGAAATAATGTTCTTTCCACTTCTGAATTATGGCCCCAACAGTGCTCACTGGAACCTTCAGAAGTTTAGACATTCTTCTGTAAATGATGACATCATTATGCTTTACAACAATAAGGTTGTGAAGGTCTTGAGAGAGCTCTTTACTTTTACCCATCATCAGATGGTTCTTGTGCGATACCTGGCCATCATTTGGGACTGAACCAGCTGATATTAACTTGCACTGACAAGGGGCAGACTTGCTTTTAATACTCTTTCAATACTTTTTCCCTGTGCCATTCCATATTATTACAAATAACTTCATTTCTGGACATTTATGGTTTGATTTCTTTGTATGTATGGATCACTTGGGTTGTTACCGACATCTGGTGAAAATTTCATGTCATTAGCACCTCTAGTAATTTATTTACTGAGAAAAATGTTGACGTGTTCAATACTTATTTTACCCGCTGTATATATCACGATACCTCCAAAATTGATGAAAAAATTATTAAAAATTGATTTAAAAAATTGAATACTGGATCTGAACAAATTTAAATGTTCTATTTTACCAATTTTAACCATGTTTCTCACACAAGTTAATTTTTTTAAAAATGGAATTAAGGCCACTGTCTTTTTGTTGTCCACACTCTAGATCAGTTGTGTCAAACTCATGTCCTTGAGGGCCACTATCCTGTTTATCTTGTTTCTCTGCTCCAACACACCTGATTAAGTGATTCAATTACCCCAGTGAATACTTCCAAAGCCTGCATCATACTTGCATTTTTTATTTTAGTAATGTGTTCTAAATTCATGTGGGATGTGTTACTTGGTTTATCTTGAGTTGAGGAAATGTAATTGTTAAGTAATACTGGCTTGATCTAAATTAATTTTAATCAAGGAGACTAAARGTAGAATAACAATTTATTTGATGTTTTCTTTTTTTTTACTTGTAGTATTCAATGTGCTTTCACTTTTTTCTCATTTAAAATGTAGAAGACATTCTGCTCCTTTCCTCCTTTTCACAAAAAGAAAGAAATCTGGCTTTGGTAATAAATTTCTTGTTATTGAAGCTATTTTATATTTCATTTAATGTTCAAACTTAGGACACATAGGGTTTGCAGGCAAAGTCACCGAAAAAGCCACTAGCTATTTAGAGCTTTTTGAATAAACAATAACCACATAAGTCTGTATTAGGTTGAAATTATAATGTCTGAAAAAATATGACATAGAGGCACTTAATTTGGGTATGTGTTCTTCTTACTTACTACCCAACAACAAAAGCCATTTAGAAGAAGAATGTGTTGGATTGATTTAATTCAATAATGGACATTGGTTGCTGATTCGGTGATTCAATTACCTCTTTAAAGTCTGTTGAAGCCTGTTAATAATSCAGTCATACAAACCACATGTGGTTGAGCAGGGAAACGAAAACACGCTGGATAGTGGCCCTCAAGAACCAGAGTTCGATACCTGTGCTCTAGATCTTTAATAAATTCAAAAATAAATGGACCATAGCAGCAAAAAAGTATACCAAGCAAAAGGGAAAAATAAACAATTGAAACTCAAAAAGGTRATCTTGTKCTTTTAACATAAAAAAKGTCAAATCAAAAAATGYGATGGCTTTAAAATACAAAAACGGAAGTATAAATAGCGACAATAAAATTGACTGACCCAGAACGGGATGTTTTGTAAATTACCGCATTTTGTTCGATGTCCTCTTAATGGAATCCAAACCACTGCCAATTATTTTTCCAATGTTGTTTCTCTTCAGAACTACTGTAATTTATCTAAGTTGTCTTCAGTTTTAATCTCATTCACATGCTCACCCGAATCCCCCGCTGCCGCCATGTTTTCCCAACACACGCATGCTCCTCTCTGTGTCCAGAGGGGAAGGGGTTAGTGATGCGTTCAAGTGTGTCAGAAAAGCAAAACTTGCAGGAACGCAGCTTATTGTTTGCATGATAATTTATACTCGATGGTTAYGATAAAGCCATTTTAACCATCATACAYTGAAAAACTCAYGATACATCGAGTWTATTCGATACATCRCCCACCCCTAAAAAGATGTRGGGGGTAAACCATCACAATCCCTCACCAATGTAGAACATGTAGCATATAGCTAAGCATGTAAACAACAAAAAAGATAGCAGGAAAAAGTGTTTGATTTTCACTCGATATATTAGACGTTTGAGGAGAGGCTTGTGTTGTTSGATGAGGAGTCAAAGACTTCATTTTTTCTTGTTTTCCATTAAGAGGAAAAAAGACGTGTRCGTTGGTTGCACATTCCACCTTCCTAATTTAACAACTGGCTCCTGGGAACAGACCATTTTCAGCAAAATGACAAGCAGAAGGACACGTTGCTCTGCGTAAACAAACACACCCACAAAGTTCTGACCAATCCCACTGTGAACTGCATAGACCTGTAGGACAGAGTTCTGACTAGGGGTCGACCGATACATCGGCCGGCCGATATTTGCTTTTTCCTTGTATCGGTATCGGCCGATACGTTCGTCCATTCGGCTGATCCAGTCTTTTGATCATGCGAGCGCATGTGTTGCCGCCCCCTCCCTGGGAGAGAGCGGCTGGTAATGTTGTAAGACAAGATTGCCAACACCAATAAGGGTGAGTTATGAACTTTTAATGTGTTTTAACTGTCYAATTTAGCTGTTTCTGCCCTGTGTCAGAATATGAGGGGGAGAGAACAGCTGTGTGTTTGTTTCACTTTCGAAYGGGAGCGCCATGTTTTTACTTTCACTTTGGCATCAGACTGTTACTGGCGTGTTCACGWTGTTTTTCTTTTAAAATATCCTGGAACTGCTCACAGGAGGCAGAAGAACACCTCYATTCTTTTACCTGCTGGATTAAAATAAAAAAGTTCTCGGTCTTTTCTCGCCATTACGTTCATAAGAGCGAGTAAAGAGCTGCTGTCCACATAAACATGTGAACCAGGCAGACGCTGCTCAGAACAYGTTTGGTCTGACCGCAGCATAAAAGTCTTGATGCAGGTTTTCTTCAGTGTACATTTCAAACTGCGATCAAAAGCTTGTTTATAACGTTAGCTGGTTTAAATGCATTTTTTGCCTGGTGTAAAAAACGGGAGCAGACTGAGGCAGAGCTGCTGTGTGTGAAGTCCTCACAAAGATAGCAAGATGTATGTGTGTGTGTCTCTCCTTTTCTCTGTGTTCCTGTTTTTGCACAAAAAATGCTGGGATATTAAAACAYGGTCATTTTTTAATGTAAAAAAAGATATTAATCTTATTAATATACAAATAAAAACAGAATATGTAGTACTAGATAAAATAAATCTTTAATTTTATTTATTTATTTAAAGAAATGTCTGAAAAAATAAATCCTGCAGCACTTCACTCAGCCTGCACCAGACAAGGCTCTGTTAATAAATGTTTCTTTTTTGTTTRAATTGAGATCTGTGTAACATTTGTTATCATTCTTATTTTTATCAAGTTAATGGAGGAAGAAAAAGCAGTATGGGCTTCAAGAATCGGCCAAAAAAAAATAAAAAAATAGGATACGCGTATCGATTAGACTGATGTCAAAATAATCGGTATCGGCCTTCAAAAACCTGTATGTGGACGATGTGGAAAACCGGGAGAAAACAGAAAGTATGCCATTTTCTGTAGACGAGACGCGAGAATGGAAGCGTAAACTCATGACATGACAGAAACAATGCAGTTTTCCCAAAATGTCCCCTATGACCCTTTAAAGTAGACATGCACAAACACATGCAAAGTCTGTACAGACAGATTAAACATGCAAATACATATAAAAACATCACCTGTGAGGCAGAGCTGCATGATATAAAAAAACTCATTTTCACTGCTTTTATTCTAAATGTTTTATTTTATTACACCTGCTACTGATTTACTACTTTTTTTTTAAAAATCATGCAGCTTTACATAACAAGCGGTGCAGCTGACCACATGACAAGGGACAAACAAAACAGTGAAAAGACATGCATACCGGGCCAGACTCACTCCTCTTGGAGAATATTCATGGAATTCGTAAACACTGATTGCGTTCATCAAACCCATGAAACCAGGTGAGTGAGTCTAGCCGCGGCAATATAACGCTTTGATGAGAGGAAGAGGTTTTGGAGGGGAGAGGACAGCGACAGAGGTGAAGACAGAGAAGGGAGAGCGAAACTTACCGCTGACAATCTCTCCGACCTTCTGGTGGGCTGCCGGAGCAAGAGATGATCAAAAAGACAGAGAAATAGAGAGAGATGGTGACAGAGAGGGAGATATCAGTTGTACCTTTGTGGGATTATCTTCTTCTGGTCTAACTGGTGACTCTTACAAATGTCACAATGATTAAAACGGAGAATTCAAAGTGAGGCTATGTGAAAATGTTATCAATGATTAATATCTTACCTTTTGCTATTATAACCTCTGTTTTGAGAAATAGATTAATTTTGACCAGACTGAAACTGAGCTGAGTAGATTTATGTTGTCTCAAAGCTCCATTCAAATAAATTTAGTTTATGCTCAACATTTGTGCAAATGACTCACTCTCAATTACAACCACATCCAATTATAGCACAATATCTATAAAACTGACTGAATTATACCCATTTTTATGTTTTCTAAGTTGGACTGGCTACAGTGGCCATCTTAAATTGAATTGGCTCAAAAAGTTGGTTTGTTGTAAATGTAAATCCATTGATAACTTCCTGAAAAAAAAATCACTAAAATCAATCCTGTGGTTCATGAGATATTTTAGTAATACACTTTGATCTATTTCTCCAAACTGAGGTTCTTCCAAAACCTGTCTACAACAGGTAAGATCTTAATTTTTCACAACTTTTCCACCTCAAAATATCTGAACTACCACTGTAACCTGTCTTGTGATTTCTCACTCAAATGCATACACTGCAAATACAAGCCCCAAAAAAAAAAAAAAAATGCACAGCATGTTAACCAAAGCATGCACACCTAACACACAGCAAACACTTTGAACATTTACCTCTTGTTTTGTGACTTTGGGGGCTTCCTTGCCCTCAGCACTCTCGGGAGACTGTAGGAAACAAAGCAGCAACACTGAAAACATTTCTCTCTCTTTTATTCCCCCAAAATATCTTTAACAAAAATGCAGAAATTATAGAGTCACTTAGATATTAGCTTATCCTAGACTGATCTATTGGTATTATAAAAGGCAATGCAAATATAAAAGCAAAAGGGGGAAGAAAAAAAAACACCCTGCAAACCAAAACTTTGAGGGGTAATATGTGATTTAGAAATGTTCATGTCACAGTGAGAGACGTWTGATGGACTGTCTGCAGCTTGTGTTTCAGTCATTGTTACAGCAAGTTTACTCGTGTATCAAATACATGACTGGAAAGTCAATTGTGATCCATTTTCTTTTATCAACACACCATTATGTAGAGAAAGACAGCTGTCAAATGAAAGGAAAAATGAATTACATAGACCACCAGAAAAGCTTCATAGCAATACATTTTCATCTTGATCAAAGTACTCAGCGATATGTGATGATTCAACTGCCATTCTAGAAGAACCTTCAGTTTTATTTACTTTACAACAATCATACATTCAAGGAGAAATCTTACTTTTTTTCTAGCAGATGTCATTTCTCTCACCGTGCTGCATCAAAATTGAAAAGCCAATTACGTTACCAATCAAATCAAATAAAAATAAACTATTTTGCCTGGTATCCCCCTTGACTGGTGCTGACAGACTACACTATGATTCTCAGATGTCATGTATTTGTCCTCTCTAAAACTGGCAGGGAAACTATAAATGTTTGGTGTGTTTTCCTCATGTAATGGCCTGTGCTGTCTACTAGGGGTGAAACAATACATTGATGTATTGCTGAAATGATTAATGATTCAATTATGTTAAGGCAAAACAAAAACATTGATCCATGTCATCATCATATGCTTGATGTGATTAGATATCATGTGCCCATCTAACACAATCATTTTTGATTGATTGCAGACTTGTGAATTGAATTTAAATCGCATCATGACAAACTTTTAATATTGAGAAACATTGTATCATCATCCAAACAAATTGTGATAAAGTTGGTGATTTACACCTACTGTTTACTACTACTGGCCTGTTTACATTCACTTGACTTGACCCTACCAGCGCAGGTTCAGCATCTTTACATTGAGTGGTCCCACCCACTTTCTGTTCCGTTCTTAGAACCAATTAGAAAAAGACCCCAAAAACACACTTTATTCAAACCTTCATGTCTCTTGGATGAAGGACACAATGTTAGAAACACTCAGTGTTCTAAACTCAGCATCCATGAAGGGGTCCTCAAGAATTATTAGGTTTTGACTGTTCAGAGCCAGGCAGTGGCCCAAGTAGTCCAAAGAGGTCTTTAATTGCCACAGACCACTGTCATGGAGTCCCATTCCCATTTTGTGGCTGTTGAGCAGATTGTGCCCAGTAAGGACTCCAACCAGTGTACTTAAAGTCGTTCTTGTCAGGGCGATGACAGCTTCCCCAAACCTAAGATTTGGGTCATTTATTCCCAGTTGCCTGTCTACAGTTCGTCAGTTCCCTCCAGCAAACTGAGTGTTGACGTCTAATCCAGGGCTGCAGGGCAGTTGTACAGACTTTTGTTGAGATACCRACAACAGGCTCTGGTCCTTTGAAGTGAGSCTGACTGCCAGCTTTTAAAGGTAGTCAGCTCGTTACCACAAATGCCAGTATGTCCCGGTATCCATTTAACAGTAACAATGTTATCTCTCCCCAGTTRGTTGACTACTTTGGCACATTCCCAAGTCAGTAATGATGTTAAGTGTGTCCGAGCTCTAATTGYACCTTGGCTATGTTAGTACCAATATTTCCTCCTGTGTACACTGAAGGTCTTTGAGATGCCACACACTGGCAGACTCACTGCATATTGAGATAGAGCTGCAAAACCACCCAGTGGKTATGTATACTCTCTCTCACTATGGTTGTGAAAAATCAACACCCCTGCACCTACTGACCGCTTCAGAAGGGATCTGTCTGTCAAACAGTAAAAATAATTGGGAGATATGTCCACAATAGAGAGGTTACCCCAGACAGACCTGTCTTTAATCTCTGTCTTAAAACTTGGCTCAAAATTGTACTTTTTGACCATTCTGTCTCCAGGTCATGCAGTTCTTGGAACAGCAACAACTGCCCAGTTCTAGATTCTAGWGCGCTGAGAGTCAGATTTTTCCACCTATCAGCCTGGCATAGCCTTACYGCACTGGATGTGGCCTCCCCTAAGATATGTAAATCTAGTGGAGCCAGGGTAKGTGTTGTTCTGATGGAACCTGTGATGCTCAGACAGGCCCAACTTGAACTCAAACCCACCACACTAAAGCAGCATAGCATTGCATGGGACGGACTTTGGCCATGTAGACCCATCTGATAACCTTTGGAGTAGCACCCCAACGACTACCTGCAATTCTACGGCACTGGTGTAGGCACATTGCTGCCTTCTTACACTTTACCTCTTTTCCAGTTAAGCTTTCTGTCTAGACAGACAAAAATGTAATCAAATCTGACAAARTGTTTTGTCCCTGCAGAGACCTTCTATAAGTATGACCAAGTCATCTGTATACCCTTGTGTATGGATCCATTCAACTCATTTAGTAGGCTGTCGACAACCAGGAGCCAACACAGGGGTGAGATTACTCCTCCCTGTGGACATCCCCATCTGAGGTTAACTGTTATTGAACAGTTCCCCAGAGCTGAAGCTGCTTTCCTTGTTTGAAACATGAAAACGAGTCAATTTGTAGTTGTCTCATCCATGCCTTTGCTGACAAATGCTCCCTCTCGCCCCGCAATAAATCGTGTCCTGTATTAATTTGTTCTGTATGTTCATAATGTCCAATAGACCTGTCCCTCTCATACATGCCAACACCTAAAAAGCCCCTCCTCTCCTCCCCTGACTCCACTCCTCTTCGTGTCTGCTTTCACAATGACACATGCTGCTCGCAGATCACCCGCCTTTAAAAAACCTCCACAACACTCCATATTCCACCAACCACAAAGTGAAAACATTTACAGAAGTCCACAAGTGACTAGGAAGAGGAACGTTTTTGGCTGCAGCATCAAATGATTACAAATGACAAATTGTAAAATGTGTTGGTGAGTATGTTTTTTTCTTTTACCCCAAAAACTTCATGATAAACAAAATAATTTAGTTACACTAGAGAATCCCTTCATTCATTTAGAGTGGGAGATCTGATRAGAATCAGTGTAGAGGGCCCAAGTCCGGATGAATTTAATGTTAGGGGGAGTATGGAAAGCTGGTTAAGCCAAGGCCAAATTCAGAAGGTCAAATTACAGGAGCTGGCCATCTTAGGGACATGTCAAGTCAAATAGACATTTAAGGCTGGTTAATACTTTGAGTTGCACATCTTGTTTCCCATGGACGGACAAAAAATAATTGTATAACTTCCATAATTATCATAATTTATCCATAAATTATCATAATTAATTTATGGCCTGCCACATCCGAGCRCTTTCAGCACAAAGAAGCACGCCCATGAACTTCAGACCAATCACACATTACCGTCGTAGCGGGAGGCGGTTAAATGGTTCGGCCGGCGGGTTGTACCAAAAGGAGCGGCCGAGTYGACACTGAGAACACCGGTGACGTAATTTTCGTCATGAAACCGCGACAATCCATGCTGACTTCAGCAGTTTGGAGGGAGTGTGAATTTGGCTTAATTTTTGTGCTGGTGCAACTAAGAAAAAATGTTAGGCACACAGGTGTAACCAGTGCAAACAGTAGCCCTAAAATGAAATAATCAAATGGACTCAATTTACAGGCAGTGCACTGCGAAGGAAAAAGGTGTCCTCCCAACATTTTTGGAAACAGTGGCAGAAAATGTTGTAGTGCTGTACCAAACGATTATTTTCTAATCGATTAATCTAACGATTATTTTTTAGATTAATCGATTAG